TCAAATCCGTTAAAGGATTTTTAGGCTGCATTAATTAGGTCAACCGGAACCGGGAACACTTCTCATAACACCTGATGTACTTGCTACATCGTTAGAAGAATGGCATCTACGCTAATATTAGTCTGTTTCTCTCTTATTCCGAGGTCACCGTAGCCACCAGATCCAGTCTGTATCCAGCCCAGAAGGTGGATCAGCACCTAGAGATGACCTCTACAGCCCTGAGTGTCAGCAGAGATCAGGACAACTAGATGAGCCCCAGAGACAGATCCCCAGTGAAGACTTTGTCTCCTAGACGGCCACCGGGACAAGACCACGGCTGTTGCCTCTGGCTTGCTTAGTTGGCGATATCGTCGACTTGATTGCACTGATACTATTTAAACTGAACTGAGCTGGATGATCGCATCACTGAATTCAATGATGAACTGCCTTTAGCTGAAAATTAAGTGTTTACTATTATCATTTTGCATCATTGACACACTATTTTCCTAATTAATGCTGTTCAGTTGCTTTGACACAATCTGTATTGTTAAAAGCGCTATATAAATAAAGGTGACTTACCGTGATCTCAGACTGCGGTGATCTGGTTTCTCCACTGCATGGATCCTCATGTGCAACTTCAGGTGACTTTTAGCAGAGAAACTCTTTCCGCACTGATCACACGTGTGCAGCTTCTCTCTGTTGTGGATCCTCTCGTGTGTTTTCCGACTTGATGTCTGATTGAATCTCTTGTCACAGTGTGAACACTTGTAAGGTTTTTCTCCAGTATGAATCCTCTCATGGAGTTTTAAACAGTTTGCTGAAGTAAAAGTCTTCCCACACTCAAAGCACATATGCTCTCTCACACCAATGTGTGTTTTCTCATGTTTATGCAAATACTGCAGTCGTGAAAAACTCTTTCCACATACAGAACATGAATGCGGCTTCTCCTTCGTATGAACCGTCATGTGTTTCTTCAGGGCTGATGTCTCAAAAAATGTTTTGTCGCACTGATCACATGCATATGGCTTCTCTCCAGTGTGGCCCATCATGTGTCGTTTGAGATGTGCTGGTTGTGTGAATCTCTTCCCACATTGATCACACCAGTGCGGCTTCTCTCCAGTATGAACTCTCATGTGAACATGAAGATATGATTTTCGTGAGAAGCTATTCCCGCACTGATCGCATGTGAACGGCTTCTCTCCAGTATGAACTCTCAAGTGAAGCTTAAGATGATTTTTCATTGAGAATCTCTTTTCACACTGATCACACTTGAACGGCTTCTCTCCGGTGTGGATTCTCTTGTGAAGCTTAAGCTTTTGTTTGTATGAGAAACTCTTTCCACACTGATCACATATGTGTGGCTTCTCTCCAGTGTGAACTCTCTTGTGAAGCTCAAGACTTTGTTTGAATGGGAAACTCTTTCCACACTGATCACATGTGAATGGTTTCTCTCCAGTGTGGATCCACATGTGCCCCATAAAATGTGTTTTGTGTGTGAATCTATTCCCGCATTGATCACATGTGAACAGCTTCTCTCCAGTATGAACTCTCATGTGAAGCTTAAGAAGTTTTTTGTTTGAGAATCTCTTTTCACACTGATCACATGAATGGTTTCTCTCCTGTGTGGATTCTCATGTGTTCTGTAAGGATTGATGATTGTGTGAAACTCTTCCCGCACTGATCACATACGTGCAGCTTTTCTCTAGTGTGGATCCTCGTGTGCTTGGTAAGATGTGCTTTTTGTGTGAAGCTCTTCCCGCACTGATCACATGTGAACGGTTTCTCTCCATTGTGAGCTCTCATGTGAAGCTGTAGAATATCTTTCCTTGAGAAAATCTTTCCACACTGATCACATGTGAACGGTTTCTCTCCGGTGTGGATCCTCATGTGAATCTTTAGATTGTGTTTGTTTGAGAAACTCTTTCCACACTGAGTGCAGGTGAAAAATCTCTTGGCTCTTTTCTTTAAAAATGTCTTTTTAGTCTTTGAGCGACTCAAAGGTTTCTCCTCCACTTCACTCAGTTCTTCACTTTCCTCGCTCTCTTCCATCAGTCCTGAAATGAACGAAAAACAGTTTCATTTTATTTTCTGTACATCAAAATAATTAAAAGAGAGAAAGACAAAGTTAAATGACAAAAACATATTACAAGAATTTTGATGTGTTTTTATAAATTAATTGAAACTTTGCATGAGCGAGGTCTTCCAGTTATTTTTTTTTTTAAACATTATAGGCACAAATTTCATGTTTCTGTAGTGAGAACTATTCAATTTATTTGATCAATGACATGATTATCTATTGTAATATAACATTACAAATTATGCAGCATTGCCATAATTTTGGCACCAACTTTTAGATTAATATTAATATAGATTAATATTTACTAAATAACTTATTGTACTAAAAACTTCATAATTACTAGTGAGCGGTCACACTAGACTTCATCCTATTGCTTTCCATTCAAACGCATACGATTGCAAGAGACTGGAATGTTTGACCTGCAAATGTGCATCAAGTTAAGATGCATGACCTGTAGAAGTTACTTCACATATAAGGTGTGCAATTTTTATCATACCATAATATCATAATGGTTCTTTTAATGATCTGCAAACTGACATTATCGAGTGTCACTCACTTTGCCAAAAACAAACAAAAACACAACTTAAGAGTCCATTCATAAAGACAGTCACTTGCTCAGTGTATAAATGAATCAGCTGTTTTGAATTAATTGTTCGAGTCAATGATCCAGTCATTCATTCATTGATTTATAAAGACAGTCAATCACTCAATGGGACTTTATGTCACCCACTGGTGGTTTTAGTGTCATATTTATTTATTTATCCTAAACTAGCCAAGACCAGCACAAAAACACAATTAGCAAAATATCCTCTAATTATCATTATAGAAAAAAAAATATATATATATTGAGTTATATATTTTTTTCTCACAGTGTGAACACTTGTAAGGTTTCTCTCCAGTGTGAATCCTCTCATGCAGTTTTAAACAGTTCCTGAAGTAAAAGTCTTCCCACACTCAAAGCACATATGCTCTCTCACACCAGTATGTATTTTCTCATGTTCTTTTAAATGTTGTAGACGTGAAAAACTCTTTCCACACGAACAACATGAATGTGGCTTCTCTTTTGTATGAACTTGCTTCTTCACTTCTGAAGCCCACAAAAAGTGATCACATTCATCAACCCTGTTACCAACGTCATTGTAAAACGAATAATCTCTTTAACTATGAATAACTGATATAATTGATGAGAAATACAACTTTTATCAGTAACTATAAATCACATTTTGCTTAATTTATACTTAATTTACAACACTGTTAGCCATTCTGGCACGTTTTTTTTTTTCAATTTTGTTGTTCACTGTTTATTAGTAAACACACACACACACACAGTTTTAACAGTGTAACAGGTTTGCAAAAATAGTGAATCATATATAATCTAATGTAAAATAAAAGAGCTAAAATATTTATATTGACCTGACGCTGATAATCAATATGAACGTTTCTCAAACCTCCCTTTACTGAACATTTACTGGATGTTTATTGAAAACCAAAATTTTTTACTATTTACTATATTTTAATTATTTTATCTCACAGCTCTTAAGATGATCTAAATCTGATGAAGTGCCTGAATCTTTCTAACATGATTTTTCTTCAGCATCATGAATGAATGAAGAATAATGCCCAACCTGTTAGTTCTTCAGTATCTTCAGTGTGTTTGATTCTGCAGGGTTCTGGATCTCTCATCTTCTCTCTGTCCTCTTTAATAAACTCAGTCTTTGATCAGATCTCAGCTCTTCCTGATGCTTTGATGCTCGTCTGCACTTGTAAACTGATGGGAATACTGGAGTGCATTTATTGCTGAACTGCTGTGGGAGGAGCTTCACTGGTGATGTGCTTGTTGTGGGCGGAGCTTCACTGGTGATGTGATTGCAGTGGGAGGAGCTTCACTAGTGATGTGCTTGTTGTGGCCGGAGCTTCACTAGTGATGTGATTGCAGTGGGCGGAGCTTCACTAGTGATGTGATTGCAGTGGGAGGAGCTTCACTAGTGATGTGATTGTAGTGGGAGGAGCTTCACTAGTGATGTGATTGCAGTGGGAGGAGCTTCACTGGTGATGTGATTGCAGTGGGAGGAGCTTCACTAGTGATGTGCTTGTTGTGGGAGGAGCTGATCTGACAAAATAAAAAATATATCAGTTTTTGATATATCAGTGATTGGGTCAAAGTCCAGATGTCAAGTTTTAGTGTCTGCATCAAATTAAATTTACAAAAGTAATTGTATATACATAGAAAACCAATTAAATGCAAGTGTCTATTTTAATGTTTCAAATAACTTTTGTGAAAACAAAGTCTAAACATAGCTAAAATAATGTTCCATCATCATTCAGCATAACAGATATATTCATGTAACAATGAAACAATTTATTTATTCTGACCTGTACTTATTAAAATATCTAAAAGAATAAGAATTCATACTAAATTTAATTATATTTAAAACAATTGGGTAAAACCTAGTGGTTTGAAGAATAGTGGCAAGTACAAAGATTTAAAATGACAATGAGTATTTTGGGGCTACACTATATATGATCCTTAAATATAGTCTTTGAATATGTCATCAAATGATTTTTGTGCTAGAATATGCCTGATTTTTCTTTCTATATAAACCCCATTTTGTCTTTGACTCATATAGTAATTGACACGTTTAAGCATTTATATCTCTGTCTATCGTAAAACAACTGATGCTAATTCACAAATTTTTATTTCTAATTCTAACATTATTCTGTTTCTTCATTAAAATAACAGCAGATATCTATAAGCAGAAAAACATTTGAAAGCATAAACTCAGAAATAAATGCACATTTGTAACAGATACGTCAATGAAATGAGCTTTAAGTGGCCATTTACAGGAGATCTGAAGACATCAGCATAATAAACGAGCTGAAAACGAGCTATTGAGATGAAATAAAGAGTGTTTTCAGCAGCTCTGTTAATATTGATGAGCCTCAGGTCAACACTCATTCAACAAGACATTCAGGATCATCAGCAGATCATCTCCCTTTATTCTGAGTGCTTGCTGCTAGAAACACATTATGTGAGTCAGGATAAATGATAAAAGCCTATAAAACCACTCTACTGAAAGAAAATACTGTTATTTCTCACAATATGACATGAATAAAACATCAATAATACAAAAGCAAACAATGACACTCATCTTCATCAACCACTACAGCTAAATAACTACAGCAGTCCATATGAATCTAAATATAGTCTGATTTTATTACTACATTCATTCCAATAATGAAATTAGATTAAAAAAGACACTAATTATAAAACCTTTTAAAATAAAGAGCAGCACAAAGCAATATTTAATGTGTACTCATATGTATCTATATTAACATCACATGGCTCATAGGCTCAATGTAAAGTATTTAGCAGAGTCTGTTCCAGGCACGGCTCGTCTGTGAGGGCAGGGGGACACCAAAATATTCACCCAAAACATAGACCTCTATATATACTGAATAAATAATAAACTGTAAATGTGTTCAGCATTCTGCAACAAATATTTTTCAGATTATCTTGACAATTTTAAGTCATAAAGTGCGCAGGATATATTAAAATTCATCGCAAACTTCGGCAGGCACGTAAAATGATACTAAGTGGGGCAGTCGAACGCAACAGCGCCTCACAAATTTTACAATGTAAATCTGTGGTGAAAAGGGGAACTGCAGCACGATCTCATTGAGAGCCATTTGGGCAGGTTTGAGACTGCCCCACTTATTTTCACCTTACCTTATCTCGCTCTGGACCAAGACGATATCAGTCAGCTTCAGCTATCACGTCAGAAACTATCGGCAGGCACGTAAAATGATACTAAGTGGGGTAGTCGAACGCAACAGCGCCTCACAAATTTTACAATGTAAATCTGTGGTGAAAAGGGGAACTGCAGCACGAGCCAGTTTTGAGGCTTATTTTCACATACCTTCTTATGCATACCCCCTGCTGCCCAATGTTATGAAAGAGTATGCGAGTGGAGGTGCTACTCCTCAGGAACAGTACTTTGGGTTGTCACTGTGCAAGTGCAGAATGGTGATTGAATGCTCCTTTGGACGTATAAAAGCACGATTTGGGGCATTACGGAGGGCAATGGACATAAATCTGGACGATCTTCCATTCGTCATCAGTACCTGTTTTGTTTTGCATAACTTTTGTGAAGCTAACAGAGAAAACATTCCAGACCAAACTGTTGCTGCAGCCGTCCAATACGACAGAGACTTCCAGCCACCAACACAGCACAACAATTTCTGAACAGAATGCAATGAAACTGAGGGGAGACGAGTAAGAAATGTGCTTTCTATGATTCTTGACCCATGACTGATGTTCTTAAGTTCTTTGAAGCATTTTAGATTATTGCATATACATTTTGCCACTTCCTGTTTGTCATTGTTAAATAGTTTTTCTGAATGAAGGAGTTAAGCAAAATTCAGTGTGGCTGGCATTAAGCTTGTCTGATTAAGTAATACCTTCCGATTGTGAACGTGAAATAATGTCTAAAGTGCTTATGCTCCTGCAAAGTGTTAACTCAACATTGTTACAGACGTTATATCCATCAGATCTGTATAAAGCAATGCACTGATTCAATGAATAAAATGTATTTTGTTTATGAACATAATCCTCATTTATCGTGTAATTAGTTTTTCTAAACATCAAGATATACAGCAGGGGGAAAAAAGTTACCTGTTGACTTGTTACTGCTAAAATTATATATATATATATATATATATATATATTAAATGTTAAACTCTGCTCTGTCAAACAGAACAGTGAAAACTGACTCATGCCCTTGTAGGCATTGTCAACATGAATTTACAGAAGTACTATAAACTGAAA